TCCAAGCCACTATGCCACCTGGCATCCTTTTGTATATTCATCTTTCACATGTGCATCATGTGTCTTCCCTACCTGACCATCAGCCCCAGGAAAGCAGGATTTCTGTCTATTCTGTTCACTACTTGGGTCCTCAGATTTTTAGAACAGTGCCTGGTGTTCAATTGAGATTTGCCAAGTGAATAAACAAACAGTTTAAGTGACTAAAGCTAAAGCTAATTGACTAAAGCTAGTGATATTGAAACAAGTTAAAGTTAAGTACAAAAGTGCTGAGGGAAGTTAAATAATTAGAGTTGGGGGTGGCGCCTGTGGCTCAGTGAGTAGGGTGCTGGCCCTGTATACCGAGGGTGGCAGATTCAGACCTGGCCCTGGCCAAATTGCAACAAAAAAATAGCTGGGCATTGTGGCAGGCACTCGTAGTCCCAGCTACTCAGGAGGCTGAGGCAAGAGAGTCGCCTAAGCCCAAGAGCTGGAGGTTGCTGTGAGCTGTGACGCTACAGCACTCTACCGAGGGCAACAAAGTGAGACTCTGTTTCTAAAATAAATAAATAAATAATTAGAGTTGGGAAGATATGAAATGATTAGATTTTAGCCTCCCATAAATATTTGGAGCCCTGCCCTTTAGTTGGGATTGGGGTTCAGTCTGACTGGTAGCTTGCTTTCCTTTAAGAACCAGCAGCCAGGCTTGGCACCCATAACCCAGTGGTTAGGGCACCAGCCACACATACCAGGTCTGGCCCAGGCCTGCTAAACAACAATGACAACTACAACAAAAAAATAGCCAGGCATTGTGGGGAGCACCAGTAGTCCTAGCTGCTTGGAAGGCTGAGGCAAGAGAATCACTGGAGCCCAGGAGTTTGAGGTTGCTGTGAGCTATGACGACATGGCATTCTACCAAGGGTGACATAGTGAGACTCGGTCTCAAAAGAAAAAGAAAAAGACCCCGCATCCCCTTTAGGGCTAATAGAAACCTCCCCTACTGTTATGGCCCTGCAGGGTCAGAGAAATAGGCCCCAGGCGGTGGGTATTCTGCAGCTACCCACCATGCTTGTTAGCTGTTAGGGGGAGGGAGGGCAAGATAAGAGCCTTCAGCCTGTGGCCCCTGCCCCCTGCCCCTTGCCTTCATGCCCCTGAGACCCAAGATGAGAAAAAGGGGAGAATGGAGGCCCAGGCAGGAAAGCAGGAGCAAGGCCTTGGAGCTGCTAGGGCTGGCATGTGGGGCACCAAGGAGGTTCTTAGGATGTGCATGTTTTTCCCATTCCATGTAAGTGGTGCCAGGAGGACAGGGTTATTAACAGCTTCTTCCAGAGCCCAGATGGAAAAGTCACTTTTATTTTAGGCTTGAAGCTTTTCTTCCCCTGCCTACCCCCAGAAGCATCATTTCTATCCCAGGAGAAAGGCCTAAAGGGACGCCTCCAGACTCACAGCCTCTGCAGAGAGCCTGGGTGCAGCTCTGTTAGTGCTGCATTTTAAAAGGTGAAGTTCCCTGTCACATACCCCCCAACCCCTCGGAATCACCTAGAATGACTGTTCTGTATGTGGAGGAACTGAGTTAGGGAGCTGGAGCTTGGCAGCTTCACATCTAAGTTTTCTTCTGTGTCAGCTTTCCAGAAATCCCTCATTTGGGCCAAACAGCACACAGGAAAAGCTGAGCCCATGGCCTACTTATAGGCAGCGTTAATTATAGACTCTAGGGTTGTATTTTCCTGTCTTCAGTAACCACCTTTCAGGGCTGTTGATGGGGACTGATTTGTCCTGAGACCTCTCAGGCCCCTTCTTTGACATTGTGCCTGACGCTTCAGCCTGGGTCAAGCTTGGTGTGGAATAATTACTGAGTAGGAAAGGAGAGAGGGGGTAATGTTAGGCTTCAGGCTTGGAGCTGGATAGGATAGCGTTGCTGCCTGTCAAGGGATCACAGCAGAAAATGTACCTGTGTAGACTGAAGTGGGCTTGAGAGGAGTGGCTGAATATAGCCCCTTTGGGGTCTCAGGCTGCCGGCATGAGGTTTCAGCTTAGTTGGGTCTCATAGGGCCTCATTCTGGGTTGGTCCTTTTCTCCTCTCAGGAAAGTTCATCCACCCACCCATAGGTGTGTGCATATATGTACCCAGTCCCCTAAAGGCCCTGGTTTTTTCTTGTGAGTTAAATCTTTTTGTATTTTGCAAATTTCATTCTTCCCTGCTTGTTTGTGAAGCAGGCAAAGGTATCATTGTTGCTTTCTAACTTGTTAAGTTGCCCAAGTGCAGAAAAAGACAAGAAAGTTTTTCCTCCACCAAGAGTCTAATTACTTGTTGGGTGAGCCCTGACCCATATATATTTCCGAAGAGAGAGACACTCAATGCCTGTTAAAGAAATGTCCTTAAATAGGTTTTAGAGACCCTTTGCCTGCCATTTCACTGTCTGCAGGCACTGCAGAAGTGTAAGACTTGCTAAGGGCGGCACCTGTGGCTCAAAGGAGTAGGGTGCTGGCCCCATATGCCAGAGGTGGTGGGTTCAAACCCAGCCCCAGCCAAAAACTGCAAAAAAAATAAAATAAAATAAAATAAAAAATAAACCATTGCTGAAACTTCTCGATGAGTTTAGGAGACTATTTCTTTCTTTTTTTTTTTTTTTTTTTTT